ATGATGATGATGATGATGATGATGATGATGATGATGATGATGATGATGATGATGATGATGATGATGATGATGATGTTATGATGATGGGATGATGATGGGATGATGATGGGATGATGATGGGATGGTAATGATGATGTTATGATGATGGGATGATGTGATGGTGATGGTGCGGGTTATCGAGCTGACGTGGAGCCAAGGAGGATGATGTAGACTGGAGCTAGCAAGGGGTTGCGCACTCGGACCTTGAGTTGGGATGATCGCAGCCCTTCTCAGGACATACGCAGCCGAATGCTTGGGTGTTGAGTGTGAGTAGGCTGACAGCTCCTTGGGCGTTGGGTGGTCACTGCTGCATCATGTGTACTCTCAAGTCAACTCAGAACAAATCTCCCTTCCCCGCACTTCACACTTGCAGTTGACGCTGGGGCCGAAGGTGCAGGGGTCGCTACTGCAGCTTGGGTACTCCTGAATCACTAAAAGAACTCCTCCCTCCCCCACCACATCACACTCGCAGCTGGGGGGTTTGAAGGTGGTGGGGGCAATGCTGAAGCAGGTGCACTCTTGATTGCGACTCAAAACAAACCTCATCACCCCTCTTAACACGCACTTCACTGATTGCAGCTGACTCGCGGATTGAAGGTGGAGGGGCCAATGCTGCAGCGCGTGCACTGGCTGCGGCATCGCATGGCGTGTGCTGTCACTGCCATCCTTGACCATGTCGCACATGCGGTCTGTATGCATGGGTGCATGGAGGCATGGGGGCATGGGTACATGGGTGCATGGGGGCATGGGGGCATGAGTACATGGTGCATGGGGGCATGGGGGCATGGGTACATGGTGCATGGGGGCATGGGTACATGGTGCATGGGGGCATGGGGGCATGGGTACATGGTGCATGTATTCAAGGGTTACATGGGTGCATGGGTGCACTGTCTCCGGCATCGCTTGGTGTGTGCTGTCACTGCCATCCTCGACCATGTTGCACATGCAGTGTGTGTGGGGGGGTGGGAAAGGGGGCGGGAGGGAGGAGGGGGTGTGTGTGCGTGCATGTCTTTCCATCCTGGCTGCGGCATCGCATGGCATGCACTGTCACTGCTATCCTTGACCATGTGGCACATGCGGTGAGTATGCCTGGGTACATGGGTGCATGTATGCATGGGTACATGGGTGCATGTATGCATGGGTACATGGGTGCATGTATGCATGGGTACATGGGTGCATGTATGCATGGGTGCACTGTCGCATGGCGTGTGCTGCCACTGCTATCCTCGATCATGTGGCACATGCGGTGCGTGCGTGAGGGTGAGTGAGTCCGTGTGCGCGCTTGCACGTGCGTGCATGCGTGCGTGCGCGCCTATCTTCCCATCTTTCCATTCTGGGGTTGACACGTGGCATTTGCCTTCTCTCGTCCGTTTCTCTGTCTTTTTTGTTTGGTTATCAGTTGCACTTTAAAACTACTTTTTTCATGACCTGCCTTCTTCCTGCACCTATATAGTGTTCCCCCATATAGGCACATAGTCCATTCCTTTTCTCTTTCCTGTATGCCCCTTCCCTTCCCCCCTTCACCTCTTCTGATTGGTTCCCGTGCTCACACCCTCTCCCTCCGAACATCCCTCCCCTCGTAGCACCCTCAAGTGACTAGCACTATTTTAATACCATGACATCCCCTCCCCTCCCTCCAATCCCCTCCCCTCCCTTCCCCCTCTCACCCCACCCCTCACGTCTCTCTTCCCTCCACCCCTCCATTCCCCTCCCCTCCTATCTCTCGCTCAATGCCTGCAGGTGATAAGCCCCAATTTCGAGACGTCTCAAAAATCCCACTCCTCTCCGCCCTTCCGTTCCCCTCTCCTCTCATCCGCTCAATGCCTGCAGGTGATAAGCCCCAATTTCGAGACGTCTCAAATGTCCCTCTTCCCTCCGCCCTTCCGTTCCCCTCTCCTCTCATCCGCTCAATGCCTGCAGGTGATAAGCCCCAATTTCGAGACGTCTCAAAAATCCCACTCCTCTCCGCCCTTCCGTTCCCCTCTCCTCTCATCCGCTCAATGCCTGCAGGTGATAAGCCCCAATTTCGAGACGTCTCAAAAATCCCACTCCTCTCCGCCCTTCCGTTCCCCTCTCCTCTCATCCGCTCAATGCCTGCAGGTGATAAGCCCCAATTTCGAGACGTCTCAAAAATCCCACTCCTCTCCGCCCTTCCGTTCCCCTCTCCTCTCATCCGCTCAATGCCTGCAGGTGATAAGCCCCAATTTCGAGACGTCTCAAAAATCCCACTCCTCTCCGCCCTTCCGTTCCCCTCTCCTCTCATCCGCTCAATGCCTGCAGGTGATAAGCCCCAATTTCGAGACGTCTCAAAAATCCCACTCCTCTCCGCCCTTCCGTTCCCCTCTCCTCTCATCCGCTCAATGCCTGCAGGTGATAAGCCCCAATTTCGAGACGTCTCAAAAATCCCACTCCTCTCCGCCCTTCCGTTCCCCTCTCCTCTCATCCGCTCAATGCCTGCAGGTGATAAGCCCCAATTTCGAGACGTCTCAAAAATCCCACTCCTCTCCGCCCTTCCGTTCCCCTCTCCTCTCATCCGCTCAATGCCTGCAGGTGATAAGCCCCAATTTCGAGACGTCTCAAAAATCCCACTCCTCTCCGCCCTTCCGTTCCCCTCTCCTCTCATCCGCTCAATGCCTGCAGGTGATAAGCCCCAATTTCGAGAAGTCTCAAAAATCCCACTCCTCTCCGCCCTTCCGTTCCCCTCTCCTCTCATCCGCTCAATGCCTGCAGGTGATAAGCCCCAATTTCGAGACGTCTCAAAAATCCCACTCCTCTCCGCCCTTCCGTTCCCCTCTCCTCTCATCCGCTCAATGCCTGCAGGTGATAAGCCCCAATTTCGAGACGTCTCAAATGTCCCGCTTCCCTCCGCCCTTCCGTTCCCCTCTCCTCTCATCCGCTCAATGCCTGCAGGTGATAAGCCCCAATTTTGAGACGTCTCAAATGTCCCGCTTCCCTCCGCCCTTCCGTTCCCCTCTCCTCTCATCCGCTCAATGCCTGCAGGTGATAAGCCCCAATTTCGAGACGTCTCAAATGTCCCGCTTCCCTCCGCCCTTCCGTTCCCCTCTCCTCTCATCCGCTCAATGCCTGCAGGTGATAAGCCCCAATTTCGAGACGTCTCAAAAATCCCACTCCTCTCCGCCCTTCCGTTCCCCTCTCCTCTCATCCGCTCAATGCCTGCAGGTGATAAGCCCCAATTTCGAGACGTCTCAAATGTCCCGCTTCCCTCCGCCCTTCCGTTCCCCTCTCCTCTCATCCGCTCAATGCCTGCAGGTGATAAGCCCCAATTTCGAGACGTCTCAAATGTCCCGCTTCCCTCCGCCCTTCCGTTCCCCTCTCCTCTCATCCGCTCAATGCCTGCAGGTGATAAGCCCCAATTTCGAGACGTCTCAAAAATCCCACTCCTCTCCGCCCTTCCGTTCCCCTCTCCTCTCATCCGCTCAATGCCTGCAGGTGATAAGCCCCAATTTCGAGACGTCTCAAATGTCCCGCTTCCCTCCGCCCTTCCGTTCCCCTCTCCTCTCATCCGCTCAATGCCTGCAGGTGATAAGCCCCAATTTCGAGACGTCTCAAAAATCCCACTCCTCTCCGCCCTTCCGTTCCCCTCTCCTCTCATCCGCTCAATGCCTGCAGGTGATAAGCCCCAATTTCGAGACGTCTCAAATGTCCCGCTTCCCTCCGCCCTTCCGTTCCCCTCTCCTCTCATCCGCTCAATGCCTGCAGGTGATAAGCCCCAATTTCGAGACGTCTCAAAAATCCCACTCCTCTCCGCCCTTCCGTTCCCCTCTCCTCTCATCCGCTCAATGCCTGCAGGTGATAAGCCCCAATTTCGAGACGTCTCAAATGTCCCTCTTCCCTCCGCCCTTCCGTTCCCCTCTCCTCTCATCCGCTCAATGCCTGCAGGTGATAAGCCCCAATTTCGAGACGTCTCAAAAATCCCACTCCTCTCCGCCCTTCCGTTCCCCTCTCCTCTCATCCGCTCAATGCCTGCAGGTGATAAGCCCCAATTTCGAGACGTCTCAAATGTCCCGCTTCCCTCCGCCCTTCCGTTCCCCTCTCCTCTCATCCGCTCAATGCCTGCAGGTGATAAGCCCCAATTTCGAGACGTCTCAAAAATCCCACTCCTCTCCGCCCTTCCGTTCCCCTCTCCTCTCATCCGCTCAATGCCTGCAGGTGATAAGCCCCAATTTCGAGACGTCTCAAATGTCCCGCTTCCCTCCGCCCTTCCGTTCCCCTCTCCTCTCATCCGCTCAATGCCTGCAGGTGATAAGCCCCAATTTCGAGACGTCTCAAAAATCCCACTCCTCTCCGCCCTTCCGTTCCCCTCTCCTCTCATCCGCTCAATGCCTGCAGGTGATAAGCCCCAATTTCGAGACGTCTCAAATGTCCCGCTTCCCTCCGCCCTTCCGTTCCCCTCTCCTCTCATCCGCTCAATGCCTGCAGGTGATAAGCCCCAATTTCGAGACGTCTCAAATGTCCCTCTTCCCTCCGCCCTTCCGTTCCCCTCTCCTCTCATCCGCTCAATGCCTGCAGGTGATAAGCCCCAATTTCGAGACGTCTCAAATGTCCCGCTTCCCTCCGCCCTTCCGTTCCCCTCTCCTCTCATCCGCTCAATGCCTGCAGGTGATAAGCCCCAATTTCGAGACGTCTCAAAAATCCCACTCCTCTCCGCCCTTCCGTTCCCCTCTCCTCTCATCCGCTCAATGCCTGCAGGTGATAAGCCCCAATTTCGAGACGTCTCAAATGTCCCGCTTCCCTCCGCCCTTCCGTTCCCCTCTCCTCTCATCCGCTCAATGCCTGCAGGTGATAAGCCCCAATTTCGAGACGTCTCAAATGTCCCTCTTCCCTCCGCCCTTCCGTTCCCCTCTCCTCTCATCCGCTCAATGCCTGCAGGTGATAAGCCCCAATTTCGAGACGTCTCAAATGTCCCGCTTCCCTCCGGCCTTCCGTTCCCCTCTCCTCTCATCCGCTCAATGCCTGCAGGTGATAAGCCCCAATTTCGAGACGTCTCAAATGTCCCTCTTCCCTCCGCCCTTCCGTTCCCCTCTCCTCTCATCCGCTCAATGCCTGCAGGTGATAAGCCCCAATTTCGAGACGTCTCAAAAATCCCACTCCTCTCCGCCCTTCCGTTCCCCTCTCCTCTCATCCGCTCAATGCCTGCAGGTGATAAGCCCCAATTTCGAGACGTCTCAAATGTCCCTCTTCCCTCCGCCCTTCCGTTCCCCTCTCCTCTCATCCGCTCAATGCCTGCAGGTGATAAGCCCCAATTTTGAGACGTCTCAAATGTCCCGCTTCCCTCCGCCCTTCCGTTCCCCTCTCCTCTCATCCGCTCAATGCCTGCAGGTGATAAGCCCCAATTTCGAGACGTCTCAAATGTCCCGCTTCCCTCCGCCCTTCCGTTCCCCTCTCCTCTCATCCGCTCAATGCCTGCAGGTGATAAGCCCCAATTTCGAGATGTCTCAAATGTCCCGCTTCCCTCCGCCCTTCCGTTCCCCTCTCCTCTCATCCGCTCAATGCCTGCAGGTGATAAGCCCCAATTTCGAGACGTCTCAAAAATCCCACTCCTCTCCGCCCTTCCGTTCCCCTCTCCTCTCATCCGCTCAATGCCTGCAGGTGATAAGCCCCAATTTCGAGACGTCTCAAAAATCCCACTCCTCTCCGCCCTTCCGTTCCCCTCTCCTCTCATCCGCTCAATGCCTGCAGGTAATAAGCCCCAATTTCGAGACGTCTCAAATGCCCCGCTTCCCTCCGCCCTTCCGTTCCCCTCTCCTCTCATCCGCTCAATGCCTGCAGGTGATAAGCCCCAATTTCGACCTCATGACATCCAGATTGACCAAGGCTACCTCCTTCCACCAGGTGACTCCCTCTCTTCCCTTCCGCCCAACCTCCATCCTCCCCTCCATGGCTTCATGAGCACAAGAGAGCACATGAGCAGATGCGCACATGAGCACAGAAGAGCACATTAGTACATTCTCATCTCCCTCCTCCGTCGCTTCATCTTTATGGTTTGACCACTCACCTGTGCCACCCTGGTGCTATTCGTAAGGGTGTGTGTGACATTTTTCTAGGTTCGTAAATCAGGTCGAACTTTTGGTGGTTACCGCTTTCGCCAGTGTCGCCGACACGGTTTGGCGAAGGGCACTTTAAAATGAAACACACAAACGCGACCAACAAAAAGTGAACAAGGCTCGAGTCTACGCACGAACGTGAGCGTGCACGATGAACTGAACATGTGTTATTTTGGGCACGTAAGAGGAGTTGGCGAGTGCGCGAGTCGTTCGTGCACCAATGAACGCACCACCGAAACCAGGTACGACTTTGTCTCGAAGAGCTAGACAAAACCGCGTAACCTAACTAACCTACGGGCAGCTCGTCTCACTCCCTATAAGGTCAAACATGCAAATTCGAACTTGGGTGTGTGGTTTGGCTTCAACCATTTGCGAGGCGCGGCTCGAACTTTGCCTACAACAAAATTCGAATCATGTTCACCTCATGTTCAAATGCTACATTCGATCCCAAAACATAAACTTATACCAAAAACAAAAATCACACACACCCTAAGAGTTAGGGCAGCAACCAGTCTTAATTCTTTCCTCGCTCCACTAATTGCACTGACAAGGCATCACCTGCCAGCATTGGTAGGAACTGGGTCTTTCATCACAACTGGCTTTGATTCCCCATCCTCACTCCCAATATTACGTCAAGATTCCCCTGTTTTCTTCAGGTTTTTTTTTCATTATTATTGTTTTTTTTTTTTTCAAAAATCTCTGTTTCTTTAGGTTCGGGGAACTCTACAAAGCTATGCGCTATTCGTTGCATGTCCTGGAGAAAGTAGCCAACTACGGTGTGCTCTACTCCTGCCATGCGTGTCAATACAGCTCTGTACAGCTTCTTTTCTCCTCGAGAAGTAGCCAGATACACTCTCTTCTGTATTCTCCTGTCTGCCTGCCCGTATACAGCTTGTGCTGGAGCACCAATCGTTTCTTGACACGTGTCTCTCAGAGGGGCTACTGGATTCATGCTTGCACATTCGAGAGGTTTGTAGCACATGCCTGCCTGCCTGCCTGCCCGCCTAGCATCACCTTGAACACGCCTTGCTCAAGCAATATACGCTTGAGCTACACACGATGCAGGCTGCACGGAAGCATGGCCTCCTTGGTGACCTGACCTGGTACTGCATGTTGCGGCGCTAAGAATTGGCCATTTTGTGTAGCATATGAGGAGGCATTGCAATGGGTCTTTGCTTTCAGTGTTTGGTGTTCTTCCACCTGTTATGTCAGCTCTCTTTTTCGTTCATGTTTCAACGTCTTATGAGACGCCTCAAAAGAACGTCTTATTTGCGTCCTGGTCCTGTCTGGTGCCCTCGTAGTCCTTCCTGAAAATGCGTCTGTCCTCTATTCAATACATATCTTCCTGCCCGTATGCCTTCATTGTTTCATTGTTCGTTGTTTATGTTGTAAAAGGCCTGACAAAGTCACAGCTTGTCATAATGAGACGATATTTGCCCACTCAAATGCCAGGTATCTTGCCCCACTCTCCTCTGCCCCTCTCCCTCCTCCGTTGCACTGCACCCCACCTCCCTGCAGAAGCTATCCTCTCTCCTTTCCATCGCCCTTCGCTTCGCCACCACCGTCAGCACCACCATCCACACAGCCTCCTCTCTCCCCGGCCTTGATTCGTCGTCTTCATCATCAGCAGCAGCAGGAGGAGGAGGAGGAGGAGGAGGAGGAGGATGGGGAGGAGGAGGAAGGGGGGGTTATGGGGTGGAGGGTAGGACCAGTGGAGGCGAGCTGGCTGATTACGCGTACGGCGATGCCACGTCAGATGCCAAGGGACGGGCGGCCCGGGCGGCATTCCGTCGACAGTTAGCGGCAGAGGAGCTACAGCGGGGTTTGGAGGAGGAAGGGTTTGTCGAAGAAATGAGGTGTGTGTGGGGAAAGGAGTTTGGGGGAGAAGGGGGAGGGGCGTAAAGAGGCGGGATTAAAGAGGGTTTTAAAGGAGACATTGACTTTGCAAGGAACATATACCTGCTTCTCTCCTTCTTGTCTCCTGCTCTCATCATCTCACCACCTCCCCATCTCCCAGTTTCCCTATCTCCCCATTTCACCGTCTCCCCATCTCCCTGCTCTCCCCAACTCAACCTGTCCCCATCCCACCATCCCACCAGGGCCATGCATGCCGCTTTCGCGACCTCTCTCCGGGCTGCCACTACTGCCATCGCATCTGCCCTCCGAGACCATCCTGTGTTGCTCTCCCTGCACCTCGCCCTCTCTGCTGTTGCCAAAGGACTTCCTTAAAAGTTTCCCTTTTCGTCGTTGAGATGGTGCAAGTGGCAGCTGTGAAGCACATGGGGATGTCACAACATGACTAACAGGATGGTTTTGCCGCATGAGAGTATTGTACCCGAATTATAGCAATACGACAAATGATGGCCGCTTGGTTACCAGTGTATAGAGAGACGCATGAGTCATAATATTAAATCCTGGATGTGTTCTTTTCTGTATCACTGGATGTTCAGACCGCCTAAGCATCAGGATTTCATAACTGCTTCTCTCAGAATGTTAGCCCCATTTCCTATCACGCTTCTTTGACCCTATTCATCGGTTGTTGTTCAGTTTTCTGAAGGATATATTCGTGCTATTTATAATGAGTACATTCTGACGCGTTTAGTAGAGCTGCCGCATCTGACGGACGCCGCGACCCAAAAAGTCTGACGAGTTTCGTTTAATATCGCGAATCTCGCAACCCTCGCAATTCTTGGTGGCCCGACTTCACCTGATAGACTAGTGACCCCAGGCAGTCGGGGCATCTTCACACCATCTTCAGAATTCAGTGGCGCAACCCTAGCAAGGGTTTGGTAAGCTGAAACACAACGCTTAGCTGACACTCTGTCTTGTTTTGCCTTTGCACTAAGCTCGACGACAATGCGCGGCGGAGATTGTCACGGAGAGCCAGCTCCCCATTTCCAGAGACTGTCCAGGAGAATTGACCCGCTTTACTCTTTTTTCAGTCTTGATGCAACTCTGTTTTCGGGCTTTCCCTTGAGGCGGTCGGGGTATGTCGGTCTAGGCCTGTTACTGGGGTGCAATCGCAGTCCCCATAAGTCCGCAAAATCGCCTGCTAGTTACCCGGGATGAAAGGGCTGCTGAAAACGAATGTTGCTTGACTTCAAGCCGATTGACCCTTTACAAGGCCCTCTGGATCGCGTTTCTAGCTCAGAACTCCATAGCCGACCGCGGAATCTACTCGTGCATTCGTCCTAGGAGAAGTCATTGCGATCCACAACCAATGGCATCCCTCAAGCCTTGGCGCAACCATCCCTCCGATTCGGTTCCAGCTTATCCGTCATGAACTGCCCTAGGGCGAGCTCGCCCTTCAGTTCTGTATTTAACATGCCTCTTCGTTGCTGGTAAAGCACGACTCGTGCTCTCCAAGTCGGACTTCGATCTTGTGCTCTCCAAGTCTAATTCTGGTAGATCAGAACTACCACCTACCAGTAGTACCTCTTCTCTAAGAATGGCGCGTCTAAGCGGGATTAGGGCTGTCTCTCTGCTGCTAGCCGCTGCCCTCGTTCTCTCAACATATGCTTCGACCGCGGTTGCTGAGAAGCGGACTTCGGATGGTGAGTTCCCCCTTCCTCTTTCTCCCCATCACATAGTAATGCCGATCCCTGTTCTCTTTGTCATGGCGGCGTTCGTTGGGAGAGTTTTGTTCGTTTTCTCTTCTTTTCGTTCTTGCTTTCGCTTCCTTCAGCAACAGCAGTAGCTGGGGCATGCTTTTGATTCTGACTCAACTAAAGTACCCCGAATTTCACCCTCCTTTCGAGTGGCCCGCAGGTTTCTATTCGTGTAATAAAGACGTATATACTTGGAGGAGGGTGGGGTGCCCCTGCGGAATTTCGGGTGCCAAGTGCGACAACATGATCACGTCATATGAGAAAGATTGCGCGCGTCGTAAGTATCTGCCACCCTCGGGACCATAATGATGACATGATGATGACGCAATGATGACACGATGATGACATGATGATGACACGACGGTGACACGATGACATGATGATGACTCCATGAGGTCATCACGTAAACCAGGATGATCCTCCGTGGCCTTCGCCGCTATGGTATGACACTCCAGTTCATTCTTATGGTATCATATTCTGCTACAAGTGCAGCTATCTACATATCCTGTGCAGCTATTACATTCAACTCCACATCATGAGTTCCCGGTCCCCATGTCATAACATCTCCTTACTCACCATGGCATCACAAACCGTTTACTAGCCCATGCCATTTCCTCGCATCCTGCGTGGTCCCCAACGTTTGTGCCCTTTTCAGTCACCTGGGAAGACGTCGGCAACAAGATCTGGTGGTCACTGAACAAACCGCGTGGTGGGCACTGAACAAACCGCCTCACTAGCTCCAGTCGGCTGACCCTCTCTGAGCCATCTCAGTTTGCACATGTATCCTGAGAATAAAGGCCTGCCGTGTTGCTCGTCGAAGCTTCTGTGGTGACTCGTGTGAGCGGTCCTGACTCACAAGCTCGTTGCATCCATCATCCTTAGTTCACATCGCAGTTGTGCGTGCTCCTTGTATGAAAATGTTTGTAACGTGATTACGGTATTTGTACAAGTTGTCGTGATTACGGAAGCTAACATCAGTGTGCAATAGCCGTGCATTTCCAAATAGCGTCATGCTGATATGCACAACCACGCGAACTCATCCCCTCGTGAACGGAACAGGCATGATGAAGCATCATCTGCCAGAATTGCAATGATGAAGCATCATCTGCCAGAATTGCAACGATGAAGCATCATCTGCCAGAATTGCAATGATGAAGCATCATCTGCCAGAATTGCTCACTCAACTCATTCTGTCTCAAAAAACGCATCCAACTACCGTATTACCCCGGATAAAAGCGCAGGTGCGCTTATAATAAAACAGTGTTTTTTGGGGGGGTGCGCTTCTAATTGAGGTGTCTGTATACGCGCATGCGCCTATAATAAGGAAAAAATGAAATTCACTTTTAAACATACTAAACTGAAGCCCGCAATAAGGCGAATCCAACGGACCATGCAACAAGTGGGATCGTGCATGGTTTTCAGGCAAAAACAGCTGCGGTTCGGTTTCCCACCGCACAAAGTTGTCTAGAACCATCGAACGTGACAGGAGTGACGGTGATGTTGCCGTGCGGCCCAATCACAGCCGCATGCGCTGCGTGGCATCTGCATTTCTTCCGAACCCTCTCGAAGGGTGGGGAAGATTCCCTGCCAGCGCAGCGAATATGCTGCCACGCAGGTTCCTCTACGGGGGTAGGCGGGGGTTTCCTGCCTGTCATTGACGAGGACCCCGAGCCGCTAGCCCGCAGGGGTCCCCGTCGTTGCCCATTTCTGCACCCTCCTCCTCATTTTTTTCATTCAGTTTCTAGTCTAGCCCGCCTGGCTGGCAAAGCCATGGCGGAATTCAGTGGGACGCACCTCCTTTTCAAGAAGAAACCAACCCGCGCCTGGCGACTAACCTCGGACGGGTGGTATACACGTGAGCCACCAGCGCCTCCAGTGCCACCTACACCCCCTGCACCGCCTGCTCCGCCCGCTCCTCCTGCACCTCCTGCTCCTCCTGCTCCTCCCGCTCCTCCGAATCCTCCGACTCCTCCTGTTCCTGACGCGTGGGGTCACCATCGGCCCGTGCTCCAGTTATATTTGCCTGCCACTTTCGACGAGTGGTTGTCTGAACCGGACACACCCAAGGCTAGGCAAATCAATGGTCCGCCGACTGCACCTCGGTGGGGAGATCCTGAAGCCTGCACGTGGGACGAGTCGGCTGTGGGCGCCGACGATGACGTGGCCGCCGATAAACAACCCACATGCGACGGCGATGCTGGAGGCGACGGTGGAGTCGACGGTGAAGAGGGCGCCGAGGAGGACGTGTTCCCAGATCGTGAAGCTACAGACGCGGACGACGACGGTGTGGAGTCTTGGTGGCGCGACGCACCACGCGAGAAGATGCCGATACCAACGTATCCGTCGATTAACAAAAAACGACCCCACCCCTCCTCTGAGAACCGAGATGCCCGCCCCCCCTCTCCCAGGCACAAGCCGACTCAACACAAACGGCAGCGCTACACCGCCCAGGAGAAACTGAAGTGGCTCGTTCGGCTGGAGCTTGCTGCATCGATAAGCGAGGTCGCGCGGGAGTCCGGCATACACCGCAAATGCCTCACAGAGTGGAAAAACCAAGCGGAGGAGCTCAAGGCTGCACACAGTGCTCGGTGTCGACTTCATGGGCGCGGAAGGTCTTCCTGGTACAGACCCATGGAGATGAAGGTGTACGCCCAACTCCTGGACTGGCGACGCCGCGGTGTGGCAGTATCAGTCGGCCGGATGCAAGACTGGTCAAAAGAGGTGATGAAGGTGTTGTTCCCGGACGTCAAGTGGAAGGCGAGTCAGCGCTGGACGGAGCGGTTCCGCAAGCGGTGGAATCTCACCGTGCGGATGAAAACAAAGGTGGCGCAAAAGACACAGCAGCGTAAGTGCCTGTCCGTGCACTGTCATCCTATCGTGAAATTTTATCTTGTATTTCAGTACTTTCTTGCCCATGTTTGTTTATCTGTAGCGGTGCTCATCCGCCCTTGTAACCGTTCCTCCCTCCCCGTGCGCAGACGTGGCCAAGTAGTGCAAGGAATTTTGGCAGTTTGTCCGCGACGCACGCCACGACTACGACATCGACAATCGTTACATCATCAATGCCGACCAGACGCCTTTGTGGCTGGAGATGCCGGCGACTACCACGGTGGAGCAGACGGGCGTGAAGTCGGTGCCCATCCGCAGTGGTGGTTACCAGAAAGAGAGAGTCACTGTGATGCTGGCGTGCACGGCGACGGGCGAGAAGTTGAAGCCGTGGGTGTTTTTCAAGCGCAAGACCCTCCCAAAGGGTGACTTTCCGAACGGTAAGAAACTGCGTATGCGCGTGTTTCCGAGGGGAAAAACAAAAGTAAAATCTAACCACCGCTTGCTTGTACGCAGATGTCGTGGTCGGTTGCCAAGCTAACGGGTGGATGGAGGCCTCGGGCGTAATCGAGTGGCTCGGTGCAGACGTGGTGCCGTTCCTGAAACCGAAGTTCGGATTGTAGAGCCGGAGCGCCATGCTAGTGCTCGACTCCTATCGTGGACACCTGACACCCGAAGTCAAGGCGAAGTTCGCGGAACTCAACATCGTGCCGGCGGTCATCCCAGCGGGATGCACGGCAGACTTGCAGCCGCTCGATGTGTCGGTCAACAAAAGCTTCAAGGCGAGTGTTCGGCAGCAGTACCAGACCTGGTTCGAGCAGGACGGCATGAACATCCTGACACCCGCAGGTACGCAAAAGTGTTCTCCCGTGACCGCTTCGTCTGTATGTCTGCCTACTTGTGGACCCACGTGTTTCCCACCCCCGTGTATGTGGTGCAGGGAACATTATGAAACCATCTCCGGAGGTGGTGCTCAAGTGGATTTCACGGGCGTGGAAAGTTGTGCCCGCCGACCTGATTAAGAGAGCGTTCCTCACCTGCGGCATCAGCAATGCCCTTGACGGGAGTGAAGACGGACTGGTGCTGGCGCACCGGAGAGGTCAGCTATCCCACGAGGTAGAGGTTGATGACGACATCCAAGCAGACGGGTTCTTTGGCAACAACTCCACGGAGCCTGAGTCGGACGAGGAGTAGGCCTTAGGCTAGACTAAACTTAAAAATGTTGTGTAGGCTAGGATGCTAGTCTAATGTATTTGACTTGAAAGTTTTAGTTGAAATTTTTAGCTAGAGTAATGTAGTTTGTACGAAGGTTGTAAAGAAAGTGAAAAAAACAACAGACATTCATTTCTATACAGCAAGGGTGCGCTTATAATAAGTAAGGTTTTTTTAGAGGGTGCGCTTCTAATTGAGGATCGGCCATAAGCGCATTGCTCCAGATAGAAGCGCATGCGCTTAACATAGGCCTGCGGTTATATCCGGGGCGATACGGTATTGACTCGTCTTGACTCATTCATAACATCCGCTCCACTGAAGGAATAGCTTGGGCATTTCCCTATTTCCTCCTGCCCTTTCACCACGATTCCTTGCTCTTTTTTTCGAAACTACCTTTGCTTCTCCAGCTATTTTGCCTCTGCACTTCCCTTCCCCTCTGGCCGCATGCAGCTTGTGCAGGAGCACCAATCCTGCTATGACACGTTTCACTCAGAGAAGCTGTTGAATTTATGCCAACACATTGCAGAGGTGTGTATCGCCTCCCCCCTCCCTCCCTCCCTCCCTCCCTCCCTCCCTCCCTCCCTCCCTCCCTCCCTCCCTCCCTCCCTCCCTCCCTCCCTCCCTCGCTCCCTCCCTCGCTCCCTCCCTCCCTCCCTCCCTCCCTCCCTCCCTCCCTCCCTCCCTCCCTCCCTCCCTCCCTCCCTCCCTCCCTCCCTCCCTCCCTCCATCCCTTCCTCCCTCCCTCCCTCCCTCCCTCCCTCCCTTCTTCCGCGCTCCCTCCCTCCCTACCTGCCTGCCTCCTCCCTCCCTCCCTCCCTACCTGCCTGCCTCCTCCCTCCCTCCTTGCTTGTCTGCCTCCCTAACTCCCCGCATCCCTTCTTACCTGCCTCCCTGACTGCTTGCCTTCCTGCCTGCCTGCCTGCATTCGTGCGTGCCTGTCTGCCTCCCTCCTTCCTTGCTTTCCTGCCTCCTCGCCTCCCTGCCTCCCCGCCTACCTGCCTGTCCCCTGCCTGCCTGCCTGCATTCCTGCTCGCCGACAGCCAGGTGTGAAATCCCCACCTGCCTTCCTTCTTGCCTGCATGGTGATTGCGCTACTCAGAAGGTGAGAACCAGTGTGGGCCGTGGCGCTTACTACTGTCCCAGTGAACCTCGTTCATGTCATGTTCATTAGATGTATAGTGCAAGCAGTATGCATAGCTGCATCGTGATTGCTTGCCCTTGCCAAATTCACTCGGGCTCGTGAAGTGTTGAAGGGTTTATTGTGGGCTGCGTTGGCGGTTTCATTAACTTTTTACTGAGACTACCTTTTTCGTTCTGTGTGACAGTGTTGGCCTCTGGTTGCGGGGCACTCACAATAAAAAACCTTTTCTGCCATCCTTCCATGATTTATATTGAAAAGTCTATGATGGAGCTACCTCCATTGCTCTTCCCGTCATATAGTTATAATCCTTCATTTAAATGCATGTCATTCCGTTTATGATTCTCTATCCCCCTGTTGTTGCATTTATTAAGCTTTGGTTTATTGTGTAACGGGCCAGAATGACGTCACGGTTTGTCCTTGTGAAAAATATTTGCGCAATCAGATTGCGAATATATTCCCCCACTCTCCTTTCCCCAATTCCCTCCATCATCCCGCACCTGCCTGCGGGATCATTCTTCCCTCCTTTCCATCTCTCTTTGAGATGGCATTTGAGAGAGAGAGAGACAGAGAGAGAGAGAGAGAGAGAGAGAGAGAGAGAGAGAGAGAGAGAGAGAGGATTAGCCTCTTCCCCTCTCCCCCCCTCTGCCTTCTACCCCCAGCCATGGGTACTTAAGGCCTCGGTTGCCTCTCTACTCTCATTCATTCAGTTCATTAAGAAATTTTCCGGCGCTTTGCGCTGGCAAGACAAGAAAACGCATGACGGTAGGTAGGCAAACGGTTACAAGGATGGCAAGCAAGGACAACTAGACACGACAGCAAGGAATGGGTCTACACGCGCGCGAGGGGGGCGCCTACATGCGGTTAGCCTCAAGCTCACCAAGCATTTTGCGCGTGGTCGACCACATCAAGCGGACCACTGATGCGGTGGCGCCGACAACGTCAACAGGAGTTCCGCGAGTTGCTACAAGCGTCCTCAGATCCAGGGCCTTCTCAGCCAGCTGGATGGCCGAGACTACTCCCGGCGAGGCCGCAACATGCAGTGGCGATACGTACGAGAATAGCGCTGACGCTGCCGCGTGACACCTTGCTCGCGGCATCTGAGAGAACGTGCTCGGTGGGGTCTCCAACATGGAGCCATGCGACTCCTAAAGAATCACTTCAAGACTCTGCAGGCACTCCGGCAGCGACCATAACTGCGCCAGGGTCGTCGTGGGCACTTCCTTCTTCAGCGGAAGCATTGCAGATGCGCGAGCCCAGCGAGACGACACCGCAAGATCACGCGGAGGAGGAGCAGGGTGCGGCGGAACGAAGTGGGCCCAGGGGTCCCCACCACCCGCGCCCACGAAGCCAGCCCCCGCAGGCAGCGGACGGCCGGGACGCACAAGAGACCCCACTGGGTCGTGCGGCAGGAGAGCAGCGAGGGGAGCGACAGGCGCAGCTGGAGGCGCGGTGTGTGGCGATGACTCCACGTTCAAACGATGGAGCGCCTTCTCCACGCCGTCCGGCTTCTGAAGGAGACGCTCCATTACGGACGGCGCTTGACGCGCTGTCCTGCCGCGGCCATAGCCGCCCTGTCGCCCACGTCGCCCACGGCCACTTGTGGTCGAGCGCACCAGCGATTGCTGGCGAGATGGGATCCGCTGGCGCTGGCGGTCAGGAGATCGGCCCCTGTGACGAGGATAGTAGAGCCGCTGGCGCTTTGACGGCCGCGGCGAATGCGCAGACGGGGACCGATGGCGAGAGGCGTGGGGAGCGGGCGATCGGTGACGTGTCGAATGGCGACCGGGCGAATGGTGACGACGCGACCGACGGTCTCGAGACTGGCTCCTCGACGCCACCCGGCGAGGTGAACGTGGCGAGCAGGGCGAATGCGGCGCCCGAGGTGATCGAGGCTCGGCGTGACGCACATGGCGGCTCTGCCGCCCGTCGCCACGCACCACCGTCGAACGGCGACGAGGCGAACGCTCCCGGTGCGCTGCAGCCACTGCGTCGGAGCGTACAACGGACTCCGTGCGCTCAGGCTCCTGTCCGTGCCGCTGATCCTCGAAACTACGCCGGATCTGATCAACGGCAGCCAACGGAGTGACAGGGACGCTCGCGGCAGGACGCGCAGGAGGAAGGGGACGTGGAGCGAGTTCGCTCACCGCGGAACATCCGCGATCAAGGCCAGCAAGCGGATCCGTTCGATCGACGGGAGGATGGCGCACGACCAGCAGGCGGCCGTCGCGGCGGAGGAAGAACAGCAGACTGAGGAGGGAGAGCAGCTGGACGCGGCGGGAGAGCTCGAGGAGGAGGACAAAAAAACGTGTACCAGCAAGCGGGACGGCGGGCTTTAAACGAGATGAGCGACGATAATGAAACGAACACGTGAGACAGCAGCTTTGTAGCTGCCAAGTCCACGGACTCGACTTCAAGCTCTGAGTCCATGGACGATGAGCAGATTCAGACTCCTGCTCGAGCGGGCAGAGCAGCAGCAGCATCTCACATGGCAGGGGGATCCTCTGTAGTGAGATCCATTCGGAGGGGTCCCCCAACACCAACCCGAGCCGCATCGGGCAACATTCCCACATCACCAATCCCAACCCCGACTTCCCACATTCAGACCCCTATCCAAGCCGTCCCCCAATCTGCACCTGGCGGTAACCCCGTCCCAACCCAACCCCCAGAGGAGAAATCCCCTGAATCACTCGCCAAGGATGATGCGCTATTCGCCAGCGTGGGGACGTGGGACCTGACGAAATTGCGCGACAGTCGCCACGCACCAATTTCCTGCCACCTCCCACGAGACCCACGCAAGGTTTTTGCCACAGCCCTGTAGGTGCCGCTGCTGCGCTTAGCAAAATATCCTGACTCGGTTTCTGCATGGACGGTCCTCCTGTTTCTCGCGCGTTTGACACTCCGCCAGCTGTCCCCTAGACGTCCTGACTGGAAGGATGTCAGCGCCCGCCTTCGTCAGTTCCTGTCTGGAGAGTGGGACAAATTGTACATTGAAACAGTGGATTCACTGTCGTGGCCCCAACCCCCTAGACATCAACTTGATGATATTGGTGTCACTGCAAGGGCGGAGGGGTTGGCGCGACGTGGCGGCTTACGACGGGCCGTGATGGCACTTGAAGCCACGCCAGTATGCGTACCCTCTCCAGCTTTGCTGGAGGCCCTCCGCGCCAAGCACCCACTTGCGCCCACCACTGCACCAGACTGGACTTTCTCAACACCTGACCCCCTCCCCTCTGCACCGTTTGCGGTCCTCTCCAAGGTGTTGGGAAGCTGTGAGATGGGAGTTGGAGCTGGCCCCTCCGGATCAACTTTTGAACACTTACGCGATGCTGCTTTGATCAACTCCTCAGGGGGAAAACACCTGCATGCACTCATCAACACGATACTAATAGGAAACCTCCCTCCTGCGGTAGCTAAGCTCCTCACAGCTTCGCGATTGATTGCCCTTACCAGGCCCGATGGTGGGACGCAGCCGATAGCGATTGGCGAGAGCATCACACGCCTCGCAGCTAAAATAGCGCTTACCTTGACCGCGGGCGCCGCTCGAGAGTTTTTCCTTCCACACAAGTTCGGCGTGGCGATTCATGGAGGGGTAGAGGCGATTATCCACATCACACACACATACCTCACGGCGAACCCATGAGCCTTGGTGCTGCAGGCCGACCTCGCGAACGCGTTCAACAGCGTTAATCGGGCGGCCATCGCTGCATCTCTTCGCGGATCCATGCTAGCTTCACTCCTGCCGCTAGTAAAGCTGTCGTACGGCCTCCCCTCGACTTTATGCCTGGACGCCGGCTTCTCACACCCACAACTTCGGAGCGAAACCAGGGTGCGGCAAGGAGATCCCCTCGGTTCGCAGCTGTTTGCTGCCGCTATACACCCTGTGCTGACGAGCACGGCGCTCGCTTTCCGTCCGTGGTCTGCTTGGCGTATGCGGACGACGTTACCTTTCTTGGGGGAAGCGGCTATGTGTGCAGCGGCGTTCGAGTATTTCACAGGAAGTCTCGGGGGGATTGGGCTGAGCCATAACCCAGCCAAATGCACGGCATGGTCCCAGATGGGCCGGCAGGGAGCAGCACTACCTCAGGGCGTACCCTTCACCGGTGATGGGGTGAAGGTGCTTGGCAGTTTCATCCGAGGCAACGACGCCACAGCCGCGTTCTTACGCGAGAGCCTTGACACAATGGGCGGCCCACTACCCTTAATCGCTTGGATGGAGCTGCAGCTGGCATCCCTACTTCTTACTACACCAATCTCTCCCCTGGCAGTTGAGGAATGGTCAGACTGGGGTAAAAAGCTGTTTGAGACATTGTTGATGGCTTGCGGCATCCGTCACCCATGGGGGGAGGCCGAGATCACACGCACCTGGGCCCAAGCATCGCTCCCGATCTAGTTGGAAGCTTGGGTCTTGCAGACCCCTTGGTGGAAGGGCGTGTTGGGTTCCTCGCAAGCTACACGCAAGCACAGCACTTGCTTACCTCCATCGACGAGTCAGCAGTTGGCGCCTTGGCAGAAACAAGGGTCCAAATGGTTGGACCCTTCCTCAACACGTCCCCCTTTTTCACTTGCTAGAGAGGTGCGAGGAGTCGCTGCCGGACGACTGGAAGGAGCTGCTGCAAAGCGACCGCACTGATCCCAAGGGCATCAAGTTGTAGCAGGGCTGGCAAGTGCAAGCCACACGCATCATGCCTCTAAATCCCCTTAGCGGCCACACGCAGCGCATGCTCTCGCTCTCGGGGTACGGGGCGGGGGACTGGCTCAACGCGGTCCCCTTCAACACGACACTGCACCTTGCTCCAGCCCACTTTGCTCACGCACTCCAGTTTCGGTTGGGGCTCCCTTCCTCGGCACCTGGTGCCTGTGACTACCGCAATGAGACGTCAATCCCAGACAGGAGGCTGCCCAACCACCTACTTTGCTGCGACACCGGGAAGGGCAGGACCAACACTCACAATGAGATGCGCGACGAGTGTTGGACCTGCCCTTCCCGGTGTCGCAGCGAAGTAGGTGGTTGGGCAACGACGCGGATTTTATGACTCACGGCAAAACGACTGCATTCTGCCCCGTCACTAGAAAGAAGGCCAACATAGCGATCCGGGACAAGTCTTTAGGGGCTGTTTGGATAGGGGATGTGACCGTCACAGACCCCATTAGCACACGTGACCCCAACGCGGTCAAGGGCAGGGGGTGGGCAGCCCCCCCGCGGTCTCTTCTTGCTCACATGCTTGCTTGTTCCTAAATCTGCTTACCTGGCGGCCTTCTTGCTGGTTTTCTCTCTGCTTGGTGGCTACCTCGTCTGTCTGCTACTGTGCTGTCTCTACAGAACTATCAGTCTGGAAGCTGGTAGTAGATTGCTTGTATGCCTAGGAATATCTAGCACCTGCCCCTACCATGCCTGTATCATTATAAACCCATCAATGAAGGACTGCTTGAGAGAGAGAGAGAGAGAGAGAGAGAGAGAGAGAGAGAGAGAGAGAGAGAGAGAGAGAGAGAGAGAGAGAGAGAGACCTAGAGGCCTGGTCCTTAGCCTCTCCAGCCCTCTCCAGCCTAGTATAAAGGCCCTAGGAAGTGGTCCTAGAGCCTCATTATTCAGTTCCTTCTTCACTTTGCTCTCCTAACCGAGCGGCTGAGAGAGGAGAGAGAGAGAGAGAGAGAGAGAGAGAGAGAGAGAGAGAGAGAGAGAGAGAGAGAGAGAGAGAGAGAGAGAGAGAGAGAGACCTAGAGGCCTGGTCCTTAGCCTCTCCAGCCCTCTCCAGCCTAGTATAAAGGCCCTAGGAAGTGGTCCTAGAGCCTCATTATTCAGTTCCTTCTTCACTTTGCTCTCCTAACCGAGCGGCTGAGAGAGGAGAGAGAGAGAGAGAGAGAGAGAGAGAGAGAGAGAGAGAGAGAGAGAGAGAGAGAGAGAGAGAGAGAGAGAGAGAGAGAGAGACCTAGAGGCCTGGTCCTTAGCCTCTCCAGCCCTCTCCAGCCTAGTATAAAGGCCCTAGGAAGTGGTCCTAGAGCCTCATTATTCAGTTCCTTCTTCACTTTGCTCTCCTAACCGAGCGGCTCGCGCCGGCCGCCTTCGGCGGCCGACGCTCGACAGCGCGGCCTTCGGCCACGCATTTGGGGCGGCAAGGGTCCACAAAAACAAGTCGGTATATTCAGGAGCACACAAGCAATGGCAAATCTTACTGCCTAAAAGCTACGCAAACAACAATGGAGCAGGAGGAGGCAGGCACTAGAACTGATCCGTGTCAAGAACCGCCAGGAGCCCAGTCAGAGAGCGGTGCAGCTCCCGCACCGCCGCCGTGCTTGCGCCGATCACATCGGCTCCAGAGCCTGCGCGCAAAATCCGCCGCAGCCCACGGACAGCTGTACCAAGCTGCCCAACACCCGCAATTACGCCCATCGCGGGCGCAGCCAGCACGGGCGCCAGCAGCTCCGCGAGCCGGTCAGCAGCATCAAGACACTCGTCCCGCTGGCGACCATCCAGCGAGCCACCACGAGCGAGAGCAGCATGAGCGTACGCCTGGATCAGGTGCACGGCCCGCAAGCCCTCAGCGAGGCGCCACAGCTGCCCAAGCGACGCCTCAAGGACCTCAACCATGCGAGGAGGTCCCGCCCACGCCGGAAATGACAGGGCGTCACCAACAGCAGGAACCCGCGGGGGTTCCACACGACCCGCCGGAGCGACAGCATACGCAGAGGGAGCAGGGGGAGGCGGAGCAGCTGCCAGCGGAGGCGGAACGGCAGGAACAGGAAGCGCAACAGGAGGAGGAGGCACGGGGGTTGGAGCGACACGCGGCAAGTTGCCCAGGCTCGCCTGCTCGTTCCGCTCCTCACGCACCGTAGCAGATACGACGCGCTGAAGATCCGCCATCGTCACGGGCTGTTCATATGCCCAGCCGCCACCGCGACCGCGCCCTCCCCACCGCCCACCACGACCGCCGTGAGCCGCGGGCCAGTTCGCTTGAGAACCACGGCGCCGAGGGGAATCGTGGCGCCGCCGCGACGCCGCGCGCTCGTCACGAGGCGCAGGGGAATGGGGCCGAGACTGTCGGCGGCCCGGAGACGGCGGACGTTGAACAGGAGAGGCGACGACAGGCGGAGCAGGATCGGGAGCTACCTGGACAGCCGTCTGGACGGCCACTGCCTGCGTGACAACAGGGGCCTGGCCGCCAGTGGTGGCGGACTCCGCCATCGGCGACGAAGCAACAGCCACAGCAGGTGCAACAGGGTCAACGACGGCGGGCGTTGAGACAGGGACCCCAGGGACAGGCAGAGCAGCAGCAGGATCGGCAACAGTAGGCAGTGTGACAGTGCTCGTAGGGGCAGCCGACGGAACAGCAGGAACTGCAGGAGCAGGAGCCTCGACAGGAAGCGGAGGGCCTGACTCGACAACAGGGGCAGACGGACCGGGCAGAGGCGACGGAGGAGCCGGGCTCGTCACGAGGTGTGGGTCCGGAGGCGGAGAGACCCCAGCGGCTGAGGGAGGTGGCTTCGGGGCAGGTGGGACTGGTGGCTTCAGCGCAGCAACACCCGAGTCAGACGCAGGCGGGGACCTTCCGCTCACCGCTGACACAGTGGCAGCGTGCGATGGCGATGGCCACGACTCGCCAGCAATCACCATTGCGAGGCGGTAGGCGACAAGGAGCAGGCCGGCAGGGACGAAACGGAGTAGAGGGCGGACCGGAGAATGCGTTCCAGTCTGCAGGGCGACGGGCTTTAACTCTACTTGACACTGCAGAGGAGGAACGAAATGACCCCTCTTATAGGGAGGAGCCACGCGATGCAAGCAGCAGCAGCGATGGAGACGACGAGGATGAGGAGAGAGAGCAGTCTGGAAGAGGAAGGATGAGAAACCAAAGGGAAGCGGCTGAGCAACCAAGCAATGGACGATGGGGATGGGGATCGGATGGCCACAATCCCAACCAGGCACCCCACCCCTGCTTCGAGCCGCGGGCGTACACATCGAACCGCAAGAGGTCAGGCGAATGCGGCTTGGCAGCTGCAAAACCCGCGATATTTTTCGCCAGAGGAGCTGGCGCGGCAGGCAGAGAAATTTGTGGAGGTCACGAACTGGGACATCGAGCCTCTATGCGACACTCGTCAGCCCATGCTGTTACGACGGCTACCGCCAAATTTGTGCGAGATTTTCTCGCTCGTGCTGCTGACGCCCCTGCTGCACCTCGCGCGGAATCCAGAGTCCATCGCAGGCTGGCGGTTACTACTCTTCCTCCCCCGCCTCACACTTCGACAAGGTTCGCCAAAGCGCCCTGACTGGTCGAAAATCAAAGCCCGTCTTCGGGCTTTTCAGCGCGGCGAGTGGCATCAACTGTACTTGGACGCGGTGGAAGCGGTCAACACCCCACCCCCGCCACGTCATCAACCTGACGACTTGGGGATTATCAGCAGAGCAGAGGGACTGGCGAAAAAGGGGAGCCTGCGCCGAGCAGTGATGGCGCTTGAGTCAACGCCAGTCTGTACGCCCAGCCCAGAGATACTGGCCGAACTTCGGCTCAAGCACCCACCGGCCGACCCTGACCCTCTGACGTGGCCAGTCAACACCGAACCAACCACGCTCGAAATTGCATACGCGGATTTTTCGAAACTGCTGAGCCGACGCGAGAATGGCGTGGGCGCCGGGCCGAGTGGAATGACGTTCGAACACTTACGCGACGCGTCAGTGACAAATGCATCCGTTTCCACCCATCTGCACGCCTTGGTAAACACGATTCTGAAAGGAAATCTGCCATGTCAAGTCGCGGAACTACTCACATCCTCCCGCCTGATTGCCTTAGCCAAACCTGAAGGGGGGGCTCGCCCAATAGCAATTGGCGAATGCTTGATGCGCCTGGCGGCAAAGGCCGCACTGACAACCCTGGGCGAGGCAGCGCGCGGCTATTTCCTTCCGCTGCAGTACGGAGTAGCAGTGCCAGGGGGGGCAGAGGCGATCATACGCAGTGCACGCGCATACACCGACAATCACCCCAACTGCCTCATCCTCCAGACCGACATTTCCAACGCATTCAACAGCATCTCCCGACAAGCAATAGCGACGGCACTAGAGGACCCCGCCCTTTCACCGCTACTGCCCTTAGTGAAACTGACCTATGGCAACCCATCTCTACTGTTTCTGGATGCCAACTTCAACAGCCCGGCATTACTCAGTGAGCGAGGGGTCAGGCAGGGTGATCCCTTAGGACCACTTCTTTTCGCGGCAGGGATCCATCCTGCCTTGAGAGCAACTGCAACATTGCACCCCGGGGTGCTGTGCCTAGCCTACGCCGATGACGTAAGCTTCTTAGGCGACCCACGCGAAGCCGTCGCAGCCTTCTCTCACTTCACTAGCCAGCTGGCCCAAGTGGGTTTGGGACACAATCCCGGGAAATGCGCCTCGTGGAGCAGCATGCCGATTGACAGTACAGTGCAGCTGCCGCCAGGGGTACCGACCAGTGAAGCGGGCGTTAAACTTCTAGGCAGCTTCCTAGGAACATCCGACGGCGCCGCCGCGTTCCTAGCCGCCCAGCTAGAAGCCATGACCAAGCCGTTGCCTTTGATCGAACGACTGGACCCTCAGATAGCATCTCTGTTGCTCACACGCTGCATCTCTCGCCGAGTTGGATACCTCACTAGAACAACCCCACTACACCTCCTCAACCACGACACCTGGTCACAGTGGGGTAGGGACCTCCTGTCCAAACTCCTTACGGCATGTGGCATCCGTTTCCCTACAGACAGCACAGAGCAGAGCCGTGTCTGGGAGCAATCCACACTTCCACCTTCGTTGGGTGGCATCGGACTCACTGACCCTATGGTGGAAGGGCGGTTTGGCTACTTGGCTAGTTTCACACAGTCTAGCCTCCTCCTCAGCTCCCTACCGCTAGAATCAGAAGAGGCCTTGATAGCAGCCAGAGATCACATGCTTCTGCCCCAAGATACCACAACTGCCTTACACCTCTGGCTGTCGGAATGTGAGATGTCGCTGCCACAGGAAGCCAGAGACATACTCGACAAGGAAAGGCTGGAGCCGAAGGGGCTGAAACTGCAGCATGAGCTTGGGGTGAGAGTGCAGGGAAGCAGATACGCCACGCAAGTGCAAGCTACACGACACATGAGTCTCAACCCACTGTCAGGCCACACCCAACGGTTTTTCTCCCTGACAGGCTACGGCACGGGGGACTGGCTAACCGCTATCCCGATAGAACCTACCCGCCGTGTAGGCCCTCCTCACTTCGCAAACGCAGTCCGCTTCAGGCTAGGCCTCCCCTTCTCTACACCCGCGAAGTGTGACTGCTCTAAGCACGTTGAAATCACTGACCCACGGCTGCCGAATCACCTCTTCCGCTGCGGGACAGGCAAGCACAGGATTAATACCCACAATTAACTCCGTGACGCTTGCATCTCGATGGCAGAGGACGCCGGCTTCATAGTTCACGGAGAATCTGCAGCATACTGCCCGGTTGAAGAGCAAACGGCAGACCTGACACTACGTGATAAGAGTTCGGGGGCGGTGTACATCTGTGACGTCACCATCACCAACCCGATCAGCACCAGGGACCCACATGCCACCAAGGGAAGGGGTTGGGCGGCCAGGGAACAAGCCGACAAGAAGATCAGCCATTACGCCAGCCGCCCTGACACAGTTGCCTTTTTCCCCTTGGCGGTTGAGACGTATGGGTGCCTGTGCGCGGAGGTCCCTCAGTTTCTGAAGCTCTTGGCGGAAACGGCTGCTCGGCGGCACTTCAACGCCCAACCACACTCATTCCATGCAGCTAGGTTCCTTGATCTCTTCAGGCAACGGTGGTCCTGTGCTTTGCAAAGAGCGCAGTCAGTGGGTTACCTTATTAAGTCCAGTTAGGCGGCAGTAGCAGAAAATCCCCCTGTGGGGGGGGTGCAGGGAGAATTCCACCTTTGGGATAGCTGTGTAGTACTAGAGCCTCTCATGGAGGTGTAGATAGGCATTTATGGGCGGATAGATTAAGTTTGTTTAGCTCTTTGTTTCTGTGTTTGCTTGTTCCCATCCCTAGCATCTATACCCTGCATGCTTGTATTCCTTGATATATCAATACACGGACCATGAGAGAGAGAGAGAGAGAGAGAGAGAGAGAGAGAGAGAGAGAGAGAGAGAGAGAGAGAGAGAGAGAGAGAGAGAGAGAGAGACACCTAGACAGACTAGCTACAACCACCTCCTGCCATGTCTGTACCTCATGACCACTATCAATACATGACTACTTGAGAGAGAGAGAGAGAGAGAGAGAGACCTAGCCTCTGCCCTCCCCCTTAGCCCTCTGCCCTCCCCTCTGTGAGCTACTTAAGAGGCCTTCTTGGCCCCTTCTCCTCATTGTTCGGTGGGTTCAGAATTTTCCGCTCGTTCGAGAGAGCGAGAGAGAGAGACACCTAGCCTCTGCCCTCCCCCTTAGCCCTCTGCCCTCCCCTCTGTGAGCTACTTAAGAGGCCTTCTTGGCCCCTTCTCCTCATTGTTCGGTGGGTTCAGAATTTTCCGCTCGCGCCGGCCGCCTTCGACGGCCGACGCTCGACAGCGCGGCCTTCGGCCGCGCGTGAGGGGACGGCAAGGGAACACACACTTACGAGTGACTATAAGCAACGGCATACAAGCGATGGCATTCCCTACATCAGCCTAGACAAGCAAGCGACCATGGGGCAATCGGAGCCCGCATCTACATGCGGTGAGCTCCAAGGGCGTGAAGAACGCCCGTCAGGGAGCGCCACAGCTCCCGGACCACAAGCGTGCTTGCGCCGATCGCCGCGGCTCCAGAACCTGCGCGCAAGTGCCGCCTCAGGCCCCGGACAGCCTCGTCAAGCTGTCCCGCAGCAGCAGCGCCACCCTCCGCGGGCGCAGCCAACACGGGCGCCAGCAACGAAGCGAGCTGGTCCGCCGCGTCCAAGCACGTGTCACGCTGGCGGCCGCGGAAAGTCTCCGGTGGAATCACGGGAAGAGACGAATGAGCGAGAACTTGTATCAGCAGCAACGCGTGGAGGCTCTCCGCGAGACGGTGGAGCTGGCCAAGAGTTGCCTCTGGAACACGCGTCTGCGGAGGCTGCAGCGCCTCCGTCAGAAATAGCAGCGGCTCATCAGCAGCAACGTGGTGGGAATGCTGAGCCGCAACGCCACCCCCCGCGGCAACAAACTCCACCCTCGCAACAGGCGGAACCGGTGGCAAACGCAGACGAGAGCCGGGAGCAGACGCCGAGACAGAAGTAGATGGAGCCGACGGGGCAAGGACAGGAGGAGGAAATACAGCAGCCGGCGGAGGGGCCACAGGAGGCTCAGTCTGACGAGGAGCAACAGGCGCCGGCGCGGCCCGCAGCGAACTGCTCTGACTCTGCGCCGCCCTCTCCTCGCGCACGGCCCGCGACACCTCCCGCTGGAGATCCGCCATTGTCACAGGCGGACGATATCTCCCGCCACCACCACGCCCGTGGGGGCCCCTCCCGCCCCCATTGCCGCCAGGGTGAGCAGGCCACTGGGCTTGCTCCTGGTAGCGCCGGGGAGAGTAGCGCCGGCGCCGCGACGTCTCCCGCTCCTGTTGGGGAGCGGGAGAATGGGGGCGGGATTGACGGCGGTCCGGCGACGGGGGACGAGACGGCTGCACTACAGGGGCCGCC